AGACATGCCATGCACGAGCGCCTTCATGTATGCTGCTGCTACGAGCATGATATTTAAAAAGGGGTTTACTGAGACGAAAGGTAAAATGGTTGTTAGGAAGACGAATGTGGATGACGTAATTTGAAAAAAAGCTTCTTGATATTAGATGTTCGTCCAGTGATGACTTTAATTGATGACTGTTGCGTCACCTAATGAATAAAGCAAAAAGAATTGGCACGTATTAGGGCAAAAATGCTTTTTTTATAGAAATAAACATTAAATTGTACTATGTGTTCAGTAAATTTGAATTACTGTTGTGTGCATTTTAGAGATTAGTATTCCTCCATTGTGAGGAGGCAATCTTAGACACCATTAAAGCCTCAAATAAACATAGATTTGAAATGAAAAAATATGGATTTGACACGTATTAGGCCAAAATTGCTATGTGGGAAACAAATCGTCAAGTTGTAACAGCTACTTGTTAAATGAAATAGTTGGATCCAATTTTACTAGGCTGGTTTTCATTATAGTAGTGAACAATATATTTACTTAATTATCATGTGAATTTATGATTGATGTATTCCAAATTATTTTGTATTTAGGTAAATGAAGAGATAGTAGGTTGGGATGTGCATATTTAATCTGTGACGCGTAACACTTGTTTGAAAATGAGTAGGGGATAATAACAATAATATGAGAAAGAATTTTTAGACAATGTCAACTTAACAAATATAATATATGTAAATAGCTGCAACAACCGCCTAAATATGAGTTGCAACAAAGGAGCTGCAACAACTGCCAGAAAAACTGTGTAATGTGGCCTTTATGGTCCTAGATGGTTTTTTTAACAAGTAGTCTACCAATTGATAATGGACAATGGATTTCAATGCTTATTACAAGTGATGACAATTTTTCACTATATTTTTAGACTAAATTTGAGTCCGCCGTGTGGATTTAAACAATCTCGCAACTCACAAACCACTGGCGAAATTCAAAAGAGTAAAATCTTAAAACATTTTCATAAAAACAAAAAAGACACAATATATGTGAACAACTGCAACATACACTAGAATAGAATAGAAGCTGCAACAACTTATGATAATTTTTCACTGTAGTTTTACACTGGGTGTTAGACCGCCGTGCGTGCACGGCGTAAACCCATCTAGTTACTTTTACATAAAATAGTATATAAGTATAAACTTTAAAATTTAAATTTAAATAATATTTAAATACAAACTAAAAAAAACTTACACATACCTTCCGTCAATCAACTTTATTCAAGTGGAGGTTACTGTAGCAAGTAAAACGAATAACTAATTTTAACCTGAGAATCAAATAAAAATTGTTTTTTTTTTACATCTAATCTCGTCCAAGTAGTTAATCATAGAAGTACATATTTTATAAGCCTCCAACTTTCGTTATATGATCTTATGTGTTGTGTTTATATTATTTGTCATTAGTTTATTATGATATATCAAATTAGTTAATTGATTTTACCGTGTTCAGTATGAGATTGACTACTTAAAATAGTATGTTTGGTAAACCAAATAAGCTAGCTTATAGCTTATTTGGTTAGCTTATAAGCTTCTTGTATTTAAGGGTATGTTTGGTATGACATATAAGCTAGCTTATAGCTTATTTGATTAGCTTATAAGCTTCCTGTATTAAATAAGCCCTGTTTGGTAGGACGAGCTTATTTAAAAAGCTCGAGCTTATTTGATAAGCTTGTTTAGGTAGCGTTTCAAAATAAGCTCGTTGAATTTTTTATTTCAGCTAGCTTATAAGCTACTTTTACCAAACACTTTTATCATATAAGCTAGCTTATAAGCTATAAGTCATAAGCTATAAGCTATAAGCTAGCTTATCACATATAAGCTATAAGCTAGCTTATCAGCTATCAGCTAGCTTATCAGCTAGTTTTACCAAACACACCCTAAATAGCCTCGTTTGGTAGGACGAGCTTATTTAAAAAGCTCGAGCTTATTTGATAAGCTTGTTTAAGTAGCTTTTCAAATAAGCTAGTTCAATTTTTTATTCCAACTAGCTTATCAAACACTTTTAGCATATAAGCTAGCTTTTCAGCTATAAGTCATAAAGCTATAAGCTATAAGCTCAAAAATTACATATAAGCTATAAGCTAGCTTATCAGCTATCAACTAGTTTATCAGCTTGTTTTACCAAACATAGCCAAAAACTTGATACAATTGAGCTAAAACGGATGAATATCTTTTATTAAGAATTTGAAAGAGATGTTCAATTGCGGTTGGTTCGATGCCACATTTAAAGGTGGCACCCTCCTCCGTTGGATGAGGGACAAGTGTCCCTCTTTTGTAAAAAAAAAAAAATGAGGGAATGAACCGTACTAATCACACTTCAGTCGTTCAAAACCGCAGACCAAGAGTCAAATTGCACGAAAAAACTAAATGAGAGTCTATGTTAAACAATTTGGCAGTATCAAAGGTTGATTCAAGTTTTGCAGGTATCGAATGTCGATCCATGAAAATGAGAAATTGGTAAGGTATCGAAGTGAAAAAAAATACTCTAAGGCTATGTTTGGTAAAACTAGCTTATAAGCTAGCTTATAGCTTATCAGTAATTTTCGAGCTCATAGCTTATAACTTATGACTTATAGCTGAAAAGATAGCTTATATGATAAAAGTGTTTGGTAAAATTAGCTGATAAGCTAGCTGGAATAAAAAAATAAACTAACTTATTTTAAAAGCTACCTAAAAAAAGCTTATCAAATAAGCTCGTCCTACCAAAACAGAGCTTATTTAAATAAAGAGAGCTTATAAGCTAATCAAATAAGCTATAAGCTAACTTATTGGTAATACTTGTGAAGATATCACAATTATTATTGAGAAAATTACACTATTTTACTTTCAAATTTAATTTTATTTGTATATTTACGTTCTTTTTTTTTTTTAATTAGAATACCAGCTCTTTTAAAATTTATGAATGCTCGATTTGTGATTTATTTTGACTATTGGTTTTCAAATTGAAATTTTGATCCCCTGCTCACGGTGGGCAGTACCCACCACTTTATTTTACATGAAAAACGTATTCTGAAAATACGTTTTTTAATTGAGCGGGACTATTTCAAATTGCATTATTGTTTGATTCAGAACTAGTTCATAAATGATTTTTTGTATTAAAATAAAATAAATAAAAAGGGCATGATCCCAAAATATTGTCCTAACAAAATAGCATCATAAGGAAAATGTTAATCTTGGACGCCAAAAAATAACAAAGCCCACAATTAAGGCCCAACACTCGAAACGGGCCACTCACCACACAGCACAGGCCGACCCGGCAAGGGTTACTATATATAATCTCGTGTAACCCTATTCCACAAAACCCTAGCGTCGGCCATTGCATCTAGCATTTCTCCAGAGGTGGTAAATTGAGCTGCCTGAGCTTCATCTCCTCAGCAATGGCGACTGCGAAAACCGTCAAGGATGTCTCTCCGCACGAGTTCGTCAAATCCTATGCCTCCCACCTAAAGCGCTCGGGGAAGGTGAGAATGTTTTTTTCCTACACGCGCTGCTGTGTTATCGGTTTTTCATTTTCAGTTTTTATTTTTCCCTTAATCATCTTAAGAGAATGCATGATTTTGAAAAAAGGTTATGTATTTTGAGGTGGGGGCTTGTGAAAAGTCTTATTTTTGGGGCGTAGCGAGTGAAGAAGGTTTATTGTCTGTGCTGTTGGTTTTTCGCTTGTTTGATTCCTGGCATTGTTTGTAGTAAATTTTTTTAGATGATGTAGATTTACTCTGTTGATGATTTTACAATTATTTGTCTAGAGCCTGTTTTATTGTTTGACTGTAATGATTTTGCTGAGGCAGAGAAGAACTAACTAAATTATGCAACTGATTTGCCCCTGTGAGATTATTGATGACTGGATATTGAAAAACCAAGATTAGTTAACCTTGGCATTTATGGTTCATGTTTTCGTCTCTGTTAATGAAGATCTTTACCTGGTTTGTATTATTCTACACCCCCAAAGTGTTTTGTGCAGAGAAAGGGGGTTTACATGTTTCCCATCAGATATTTTACCTACTTATTTTATTTATTATCATACACGATCAATAGATGGAGCTGCCCGAGTGGACTGATTTGGTAAAAACTGGTGTCCTGAAAGAGCTTGCACCATATGATCCTGATTGGTACTACATAAGGGCTGGTAATTTACTCATACACATTATCTCATCTGCAGCATATAAGTAAAAACGCTGATCAATTCTAACAACCGTGCTTACAACAACATTCGTTTTTCCTCCCTCCCATTTTTTTTTTTAATTCAAACAGAATTATATATGTTGCATGTTATGAACTGCCCATCTAGGACTCCCATTTGAAGAATGCGTTCGTATTTTACTTTTTGGGATTGTGTTTTGTTTTGTAGCTTCCATGGCTCGAAAGATCTACTTGAGGGGGGGACTTGGTGTTGGTGCCTTCAGAAGGATTTATGGTGGAAGCAAGAGGAATGGCAGCCGTCCGCCCCATTTTGGCAAGAGCAGTGGGTCTGTGGCTCGTCACATTCTTCAGCAGTTGCAGAAGATGAGCATTGTTGAGGTGGATGCAAGAGGGTAAGTTCAGTATCCATTCATGTGGGATCATTTGCTTGTTGTTATCTGCAGCTTAGTTGGGTTAGAAAGTATGTTGAATCTTTGTACTTGTTTCATTATGGTATGGTTGCATGATTTATACTTGATAGTCTTGGCTTAGTTCCCAAAGTGGAAAAAAAAATCCAGTCCATATTTGAAACAATGAAAGTAGAAACAAATGTATATTGATTGTTTTTAATAATGTTCCCATTGGGATCATTTGCTTGTTATTTGAGGCAGTTTAGTTGTCATGTAAAGTATGTTGAATCTTTGTACTTGTGTCACTATGGTATGGTATGAATTGTATACCCGATATTTGAATTGTCTTAGCTTAGTTACAAAGTAAAATGGAATTCCCGTCCATATTTGAAAAGATGAAAGTAGAAGCAAATGTATATGTTTGTCGTTTTCAGCTATATAAGTTCAGTATTGATTGTGTTGAATAATGTTCCCATGGGATCATTTGTTTGTTATCTGCAGCATTTAGTTGGCATGGAAAATATGTTGAAGCCTTTGTACTCTGTCATTATGTTATGGTTGCATGATTTATACCCGATAGTCTTGGCTTAATTAGTTACAAAAGTGAATAAGAAATTCCAGTCCTTGTTTGAAACAATGGAAGTAGAAGCAAATGTATATATTTATCGGTTCAATCTATGTACATAATTTTCTCGCTCCCTCATTGGTGGATTCATTTCCGAAAATACATTTGAATATTTGTGTTAATGTCTATTGCTTCATTTGCCAATATGTACTGTTTCTCCTCATTTGATACCTTATTATCCGTTTTTTAGTAGTCTTACTTGAAAAAAGTAATTGTTGTGTGTTACACAGTGGACGTCGGATCACATCCAGCGGGCAAAGGGATTTGGACCAAGTTGCAGGAAGAATTGTTGTGGTTGCACCGTAGATTATTTGTTTAAATTGTGTTTTAGCTTGTTGGGAACTTAATCTCTGGACAAAGTTTTGGTTTAAAATGTTTGCCGTTTTAGCGTTCTGAATTTACTGCTGGTTATTGCAGTGTCAACGAGATGTACTGTGGATTATGAATTATCGAGTTATGACGAGTAATGGGTGATTTTCCTTAAATTCATGGTGAAAGAAAGAAGGAAAGATTTGATCGAACCTTAAAAAATCGACTCATTAGACTCATTACAAGGCTGTTCTTTGGAAAACTGCCAATATAGAATTAGTGTCATTCTGGGCAATTTGCTTTATGAACTGTTCTCATGTTTGTTCAGTACTTTGTTTTATACAAAATACCACATTCAAGCCATTGTTGGATATGTAGTAGTGAGTAATGTTCCACTATCCACGGTGGACACATATGTCTACTGCTTACGTGACATACACGGTGATGTTAATATGTTTTAAAAAAGTACATCATTAATGTGTGCATGCCACATAAAGGTGAATTACCGAATTTAGTTCCTTGTCTTGTATTACTGTAGATTAAAAGCACTTTAAATTTTTAAAATGCTCTATTTTGGCATATAATTTTGTATTAAAATCAGTAAAAACCCATTTGTAGCTTCTTGTCAGCTGTCACCATAGAGAAACCTTACAAATTCACTTTCTAAGCCATGCTTACAACTGAAGGTTCTTGTGACTTTTGCTATGAAAACCATAGATGCCTTCCAAGTTCTAACAGAAAAAAAAAAAGAAAAAAAAAAACCTAAAAGCTCGAATAAAACCGAGTTTTATCTCCTCCAAACTGAAATTACTGAAGCTAGGTGGAACTTAGTGAACTGAAAACATGGAAGATAGGAGATTTAATAAGTGCCCAGCCAAACACTTTTTGTATCTCAAAAAATGTCAGTACCCCACATATTATTGGAACATATACAAATGCAATGAATAAAATAAAAACCGAAAACGATGATCCTTCCTGAAGACAAGTAGGACTTGATCTTCTTGTGTTTGGGGTGTGTGTGTATACTTCAATGCTGATGTGTGTACAAATCATCCAAAGACAAGTAACATTTGATCTTCTTGTGTTCGGGTATATGAAACTTTGGTTCTTTCGGTATTGTAGGGTGCTTCTCAGATCTGAGGCAATTAAAGACAAGGTAATTATAAAATGCCTTTTGACATTCCTGAGCTTTACTTGGTTTGTTAACTCGAGAAATGAAGTAAATAAAATGAGTAAAATACAACTGAAGTTACCTTCTGGGGACGAAGGGCCGATCGAAATATGGCATCGGCTGAGCTTTTGGGACAAGCTCCTTCCTGAGTCTTCTAATTTCTTCTTCTTCTTCCAGCTGCAATACGATGGCAATTTTTTTCACCCAACGAGTCAGGTTAATAACGATGTATTAGTTCGATATATTTTAAAAATGTGTTGATAACAATACTATTACCCTCTGCTGTCTCTCTCTTTCCATCTTGTACTGCTCAATAAAGTTCATTTTCACGGACACCTTCATAAAAACAAGTTCCTCGTGTGAATACGAATAATAACTCACATTAAGCAAGAAAAAAAACAACTTTCTGGCAAATATGAAACATGGATGGAACTAGTTATTCGTAAATCGAACTTAAAAATACCTGTTGATCAAATTCAGACCTCTCGACAGCTCTCACATCGCTGTGCAATACAAGATCGATCGGCCTTGTATTTTCTTTAACAGGAGGCTTCACCAAACACTGACATAAGACAAACCACAATTGTAGTTACTGGGGGCATTATATGTACATAGAAGACAAACCACAATTGTAGTTACTGGGGGCATTATATGTACATAGAAGACGATATTGATTAATGTTAAGAAGTTCGTGAGTTTGGGGCATTATAAGTACATATGCAGAGAAGATGATATTGCGCTTAATGTTAAGGAGTTGATAAAAACTTAAGCTTGGAGCTCAGGGACACACACATCCATACACCACTTCAGAACTCAAATTAATAGTGCGACAGAACTTATAAGCGCAAGTACTGCTGTAATCATCATACCTAAACCCGTGGTAACAACCCACACAATTATTACATTTTTAGCAGACAGATAAAATGAACTAAACTAAGTTCATTAGGATGATTATTCAACTTTATTTCTCTACAGATAATGTAAATCAACTGTTAAAATGAGATACAACAATTTCTAATTTCAAATTGGATAATTAATAAACGGACATCTAAATATTTTACCAAAATATATTACTTGCAAACATAAGCCACCCTCGCTTCATACAAATTTCCAATGTAGTTAAACAAATGCATGTGTGCAAATAATTAAAGGTAATGAATGAACAGAAAATGAGCGAAAATAGTCATTTGCATCTTGATATAACAAGAGAGCGTTAGTATTACAAAACACCTCCGGTTCATCTGTTGTCCAGGGAAGACCTTGAGCTATAGGTATCCTCATCTTCTCTTCTTCCTCCATTTTTTGTCGGAGCTTCTTCGTGAATTCCTCCTCCTTACATCTCCCTCTCTCCTGTGATAGACAAATAATCAGAGGTCTCTGTTATTTCAAGCGAAATACAAATAAATAACAAAATGGCATTGATGATAAATGATGCCAGAAAAATTATTGATTATACTTATTCAAGTTCAAGTACTCAATTATGGTGGCAAATAATTTGATCATTAGACCAATGTGATATTTTGTAGGTTGCAATGACTTGATTCACTATTTCGTTAGTTACCATAGAGGAAATAAGGCAAACATGTCCAGGTCCAAAGGCTCATGATAGAGAATCATTAACCACTTCTTACAATCAGCCCACTTTTTGTTAACTGAATCTACATACAAATTGTTCAGTAAAATCCAATATAAGTACTAGAATTCTTCATAGTAAAATTATACGGCGATTGTTTGTTTCCCCTACCTTGCATTTCATTCAACTATTGGACCAAGAAGTATATACAATAATGATACATTGTTACAATCAGCCCACTTTTTGTTGACTGAATCTACATAATTGTTTAGTAAAATTCCATATAAGTACTAGAATGCTTCTTAGTAAAATTATACAGCAATTGTTTGTTTCACCTACCTTGCATTTCATTCAACTATTAGACCAAGATAAGGAAGTATAAACGATAATTATACACTGTCACAATCGTCTCTTTCTATCATGTGATTTTGCTCATTTTTCTATCAGTTTGAAGATTCCCAGAGATACATGATACTTTTCAGAGATGCATGATATTTCATGGTCATGTGCTTCTTCTCATTTTTCCTACCACTTCGAATTTTCCAGAAATAAATGATATTTCAATCACACCACATGAGACATTTATCAGTTTTCAGACAAACCTCTGTCCTAAGCATGAAAGGCCTCTGAGAGGTTGCTTTCGGCTGTTTGCTAGTCCCACGTCTTCTAGTACGGTTTCCAGTGGATTCGTTGCTCTACAAATTATCAAACACGGATAAAGAAATCACTTAAAAGTTGAAAAAAAAAAAAAAATCAATTCAAGGGAGGTATAGTTAAATGTTCACTCACGCTTCGCCTGAACTTCCGACCACCAACAGAAGTCACGGTTGAAATGCTGTTTCAGGACATAAAAGTTCAATTGACAAACAAATGAGCAAAGACACCAAACAAAGCATACATTTTGTTCACTCATAGTTTATAGTTCAAGCTGTAATTCACACTAACCTTCCCTGAGCGCTGTCTAATGAGTAGGAACGTCTCGAATCGAGACCTAAACTCTCCATCGTCAGGTAATAATCAGAAGGGCAGAATGAAGACGAAGAAACCCGAGTCTCTAAATCATTGGAAGGTTTTTGCAATCCTGATTCAGATTCGGCCGCACCCTTATCTTCTTCCTCCACCTTCTTCTCCTCAGCATCTCCGAATCTACGCACCGTGAGCTTCTCAAATTCTTTCACCAAATTCTTCACTCGACCAGACCCCGAAATCTCCAAAGGCACTCTAGCTTCCTCCAGCAGCCTATCTCTACTCCTTTTCACACCCATATCACCACTGTTCAACTCAGCCTCATCCACATTTTCCTTCTTCTCCCAATTAACTTCAGACAAAACACCTCCACATCCACCTATTTCCCCTTCGAACCCTCGGCTAACCTCCAATTTCGCATCATTCCTCTCAGACACTGCATCAAACACCTTCAGCTCATCACAAATCTCACCCTCTTTTTTCTTAAAAAAATCTTCCTGAGAGGCACGCAGGCTCTCATATGCCGTGCACAGACACCTCGATCTCCCAATGGCCTTCCCGCACTTCTCGCAGGTCGCTGCCTCCACCGCCGCCGTCGGCGGCTGGTCGTTCCTCAGTTTCCTCTTTGCGATCACGAACTTCCTCTCTCGAATCTTCTTCTTCGCTGAAGGCGAGGCCACCTGGCTCAGATTAGGATTCCTGATGGCGGATTTCTTCGCGGACTTCAATCCAGGACTCGATAGGTTCGGATTAGCATTCTCAGAGAGTCTCAAGGACTCGTTCAGTCTCGATCGGACGGATTTTTCTTTTGCTGGAGTAAATGCTCCGGCGATTTTGGGGGCTGGATCCATCGGAAAATCCGCCGGAAGTTTGAATTTGGGAGGCGGAGGAATTAAGAGGAGCGGTTTTGGGTTTTTAGGGTTTGCAGTGAGGATTTGCCGGTTTCATTTCATGTGGGGAAGAAAAGAAGAACGTTTGAGCTTTTGAACGCTCGGTTTGTAACGGCTAGTTGGCAATGGGTCTTTTGGCATTGACCGTTGGATTCACTGTTTTGGTATTTGGTTGAATTTGGATCGTCGGATTGTGCGACTTAGATTACCGTTATGTGAGTTCCTAATTAGCCTATGTTGGAAAAGAATTTTGATTATTATAGGATTATTTTGTAGTATTTTGTAATTTTGTGGCATTTATCCATATACTATATAATAGGGAAATATTACGGTCTCGTTACGAAACCATTCCGTCAAGGTTTTTAACCGTTAGATGATCATGTAACCGTCGAGAATAATTGATCTAACAATTACAAACCACGATAGAATGGTTCAGTAGCATTTCCCTATATAATAGATTTTGTTCTTTTTGAATTGTTTTATTGCCAATTTTTTTTTTTTTTTTTTTAAATACGATTTAAATGTCACATTGCTTCTTTTAAATATCGAGTTACAACCATTAGAGTTTATAAGGGTTGATTGTATTTCTCAATTAAATATACGAATACATTAATGAATGTACATTGAGATTCTTTTATAGGTAAATACTTTGACACGTAAATCAAATATTAAAATAACAGATGATAGTTTCTAATATTAATATATTTTAAATTGAATTTTAGAATTGTTATCAAAACTCAGTCAACTTGATTAAGCTCGAACTTGGCCTGTTTAATAAGTGAATAAATAAATAAATGAGCTTAGCTCGTTATCAAACAACTCATTTTTTTCGTATATATTTTGAATCAAACAATTGAGACGAACATGCTCGCGAGTACACAAGTCGTGTTCGTAAACAATTCTTTTATGATTTTGGGACTTACATTAGTTAGAATATTGCACATAAATATAAAAATAAAAAATAATACTACCTCCTATTCTTTTTAAATGTCATTTTGGCATTATCAACTATTAACAAAATAAATGTCGTTTTGGGTACTTTGTACATATTTTTCCATTATTACCCTCATCTAGCTAATAAATACACTACGTCTTTTCATACTCACTCTTCATCTTTTTTCCAAAACATTCATCTCTATCCTCATTAATGAGGGTTATTATTGACAAAAAAAATATTCTTAATAACTGTGCAACTTCTCAAAACGACACTTATTATGAATAGGAGGGAGTAATAATTACTCTAAAGTAGAATTGGTAAATAAAATTAGTCTTCGAGAACGTGAATTGAAATTTTTACATGAAAATAATAAGTAATAATTCTAAAAATCACTCGTTACTCGTTACATGTAAAATCTACTCACTTTTTAAGGATATTTTATTTAATTACACTTTATTTTCACTCACTTATATAAAATCTAATCAATTGTTAGTTAGTTTTTCCGCTATTTCCGTTAAAATCCAACATTTTTTTTTTTCTTATAAAATCTAATCAATTACTTTTTTTTTTTTAACACAATGGTTAATTAAAGTGCAATCAAATTTTTTAATTATTCTATTAGATAATATTTATTACCAAAATTAACAATTTTAATTTACACTAAATGATACGTGGAAGTTCAATAAGTATAAAACATTATATTGCGTGTAATTTTTTTCTAAACTATTTATTGTGCATCTCATTAAATAATGTTTTAATATGCTACTTCACTTTAGGTATAACAAAATAACAAAAATAATAATCATTTTTAAGATAATTAATAGGTAAGATAAATTCGTAAAAACTACATTATTTATTTTATTTTATGCAATCAATGTAGTTATGAAGGTAAATACTCTTAAAATCTTCATTTTACTAATGACAACAAATTTTAAATGTGATACTAACTTACAGTTTTAATATTTTATGCACACATATAACTTAAAATAATTCAAATATTTTGCATTTACACGTGATCGAATACTAATTATTCCTAAAACTCGACACATTAATATATAGTGTAAATGTCACTCAAAAAACGTTTATTTGGAGCCCACCATCATCTTCATTCTTAATCTTCAAGTTTGGTTCCATGATTTCTAATAAACACGTGAGCTTTAAATCGCTAACCATTAAAAATAGATATTTTACTACCAATCTATAAAAATAGTTAAAAAGTTTAGCAATAGCTAATAAGTTATTTATTGATCACATTAAAGTTGGTAGTCGATAAAACCAAAAACTAAGAAATTATCCGACATGATAAAATAATAATTGTTTGATGAAATTAACAGATAAGTTGATTGAACAAGAAATATCAATAGGATTTTTTGAAACATTACGTAGAAAAACATTTGAATCAAACTTTATAGATGAACTAAGACGAACAACCAAAATTTATTGGAATGTATGAGTCTCCTCCCTCAACAATCGATTCGGGGGATGTAAACTCACAATTTACGATTCCTTTTACTCTGGAAAAACACAAATTTTTATTGTCGGATACCTAATTGTTAGGCTGGTATATATATCCAATCATATTTTGTTTATATTGTTTTCTTAAGATATTATTTTAAAAAGAGATGTAAAGGTCTCATTACAGAATCATTCATTTGAAATTTGTAACCGTTAGATCATTATGTAATCGTCGGAAATAGTTGATCTAACGGTTACAAACAAAAAAAAAAATGGCAATTTACCTTAGTATATTTGGATAATAACGCATGGAGTTTATATATATGTTGTTTAGCGAGTAATTAAATGAAAATTAGATGACATGACATTCTCAAGCAGTTACAACCAACGGCTTAAACTAGCTCATCTCACAGAGTTCGTTGGCGTACAATCCAGCGTGCACAGCGTACAATCGGCTGACAGCTGTACCTTTACGTGTTTTGACGGTGGTGCATGTGCACCGCCACTACGACGCGCAGAATATAAAAACACCCACGATCGACCACAAAACGTCAACAGGGGCATTTTAGGTATTTAACGCTCGCACCTACTTCAGATTTTATACTCCGTGGAAAATGTGGACCAAAGGGTAAAATCGTCATTTCGAACGAGCTTCTTCCTGGTTAGATCTTGGGTCCGAAAACGAGTATAAATGGAGCTAAAAGCTTTCTCACACTTTATAGATCTCTCTCTCTCTCTCTCTCTCTCTCTCTCTCTCTCACGAAGCTAATCGCGGGACGCTGAGGTAAAGTTCTCTGTTTCTAGCGTGAAAATGGTGGATTGATTGTTTCTGCATTTTGCATTTCTAGCACGAAAATGGTGGCTGCTTAAATTGTGGATTTTTTTCTGCGTAATTTTTCGGATAGTGAAGATCGATTGGGTCTTTGTGATTCATTTTCTTGTTTAACTCGTTTTGATTTGTGTCTGATCTGGATCGGAGTTGTGGGCGATGGGGTGATTTTGGTTTTTGACCGGCTTGATCTGTCGTGTTTGTATGAAGTTTTCGTGCTGATGATGGTTCGATCGCCCGATGTTTGTGAGATCCATGGATTTTTCTTACGTTTTGGAATTTATTTGAGTGTTAGCTGAATCTGTTCCTATTGGCTGGTGTAGAGCTCATTACATGCAGCTGGGATTTGTTAAATGTGTTGGATCTGATCAAATTTGGTTGAACTTTTGTGGACTCGTTGCGTACGTAATGTACGATCTCTCTAAAAAAATGAGTTTTTTTCGTTTTGAAAAGCATTGTGGGAATTCTGTTTTGGTCATCAACATATTGGATCTAATGTTCATCTTGAGTTAGCTGCTTTCCGGTAGAAATTTTTTCAAGTATTTTGTAGCTAGGGAGTAATATAAGCGCAATTGAAATAGGTGGGTTGAATCTTGATTGTATGGATCAGGAAGAACCAATCCGCTTTTCAGCTGCTTCTATCTGTGCTGGTTCAAATGTGCTTATTTGAATTTTATCCTAAAATCGAGTCGGCTCGTGTTGCAGTCATAGCCATGCCCTGTGGGCTGTGTGTGTGTATATATATATCTGACAAAATCACAACTTATGTAACATGGCAACATAAACACTGCTAAAAATATACCTTATCCAGGCTTTCATGTGGATTATGTATCTAGGAATCTGTTTTTCCATGCCTTGCTTACAATTTCCTTTTGTATATTACCTTAGGGCACCCGAGAAAAAAGTACTGAAAAGAAATGGTGAAGATTTGCTGTATTGGCGCTGGGTACGTTGGGGGCCCCACCATGGCCGTGATAGCCCTCAAATGCCCGTCAATCGAGGTGGCTGTCGTTGATATCTCTGTTCCCCGCATCAATGCCTGGAACAGCGATCAGCTTCCTATTTACGAACCGGGACTCGATGATGTCGTGAAGCAGTGCCGTGGCAAGAACCTCTTCTTCAGCACGGATGTCGAGAAGCACGTCTCGGAGGCCGATATAGTCTTTGTCTCGGTCAACACCCCCACCAAGACCCGAGGCCTTGGGGCCGGCAAAGCTGCAGACTTAACCTACTGGGAGAGCGCGGCTCGAATGATTGCTGACGTGTCTAAATCCGACAAGATCGTGGTCGAAAAATCGACGGTGCCCGTGAAAACTGCTGAGGCCATAGAGAAAATCCTCACCCACAACAGTAAAGGCATCAACTACCAAATCCTCTCCAATCCCGAGTTTCTTGCCGAGGGGACTGCGATCCAAGACCTCTTCAATCCCGACCGAGTCCTCATCGGTGGCCGTGAAACTCCAGGAGGATTCAAAGCCGTTCAAGCTTTGAAGTCGGTTTATGCTCACTGGGTCCCGGAGGATCGAATCCTCACCACCAATCTATGGTCGGCCGAGCTTTCGAAGCTAGCTGCCAACGCGTTCTTAGCTCAGAGGATCTCGTCGGTGAACGCCATGTCAGCGCTCTGCGAGGCGACCGGCGCTGATGTCACCCAGGTGTCGTACGCCGTCGGCAAGGACTCGAGGATCGGGCCGAAGTTCCTCAACGCGAGTGTCGGATTTGGCGGGTCGTGCTTTCAGAAGGACATTCTGAACCTTGTTTATATATGCGAGTGCAATGGCCTTCCCGAGGTGGCCGAGTACTGGAAGCAAGTTATCAAGATCAACGATTATCAAAAGAATCGTTTTGTGAACAGGATTGTTTCGTCTATGTTCAACACGGTTGCGAACAAGAAAATAGCTATTCTCGGTTTTGCCTTCAAGAAAGACACGGGAGATACTCGCGAGACTCCGGCTATTGACGTGTGTAAAGGGCTGCTCGGGGATAAGGCTCAGCTGAGCATATATGATCCTCAGGTGACCGAAGATCAGATTCAGAGGGATCTCTCGATGAACAAGTTCGACTGGGACCACCCGATCCATCTCCAGCCGATGAGCCCGACTACTGTTAAGAAAGTTCATACTGTTTGGGATGCTTATGAGGCGACAAAAGATGCGCATGCAGTGTGCATTCTAACAGAGTGGGATGAGTTCAAGAAGCTCGATTTTCAGAAGATATATGACAATATGCAGAAGCCGGCTTTCGTTTTCGACGGGAGGAATGTGGTTGATGCGGGGAAGCTGAGGGAGATTGGGTTTATCGTGTACTCGATCGGGAAGCCGCTTGATGCTTGGCTCAAGGACATGCCGGCTGTTGCTTGAGTAAGGCTTTTTTGTGGTGAGAAAAAAATAAGAATTCTATTTGTTTGTGATTGTGGTTTTATAGGACCATTTACTCTGTTTTTCATCTGGTGGGATTTTGATGAAAGGGTTTCGGGATTTTTGGTTTACATGCATTTTGTAGTCTGGATGATTTTATCAGTGCAATTGTTATTTCTAGCCAAGTGTAGAAGCTCTTATGTGTTTTACATTGTGTCTAATCAGATATTCTCTGTAGTTGTGTTATGTTTTATAATCAAGGTGATTTTTATGGGCAAGCGCAAATGATAAGTATAAGCTGATTTATTAAAAAGAGAAGAAAAA